CAAATTAGACTGCTCTTGCTGAGTGACGGGTTACGACAGAAGTTTATCCAGGCATCCACTTCCCTAAAATTTTGTAAACTTTGGTATGGTTTAGCTGAAATTTACTATATTTCGAAATCTGTTTACCTGAAGCATTAATCTGGAAGAAAAAAATCCTAGAAGGGCCTTCTTTCGAGCTGGAACATCCAGAAACAGCGCAAAAGGATCGACCCATAGCGTTAAAAAAAATCATTAACCAAAACGATCCAGATAGTTTAAATGTTTATAGCTAACAGAGAAATTGACAGATGTTTGCGGTACGCGGTCCATGCAAACAACTCTAAATTGAGTATACCAATGACCAAGTTGACAAAAAAATAATAAAACGGAGCAGACTGGAACCGAACCATGGACGTTGAGATTACGGGGCCCGTGTGTTGACCACTCGTCTATCAACGCTTGTGAAAATGAAATGGTTAAAGGCGCATAAGAGCAACCTCAATGAAAATAAACTTATATTTGAGTTCATTTATTATTACTCAATAGTTGAGTAAATTTTAACCAACGCCGCTTTTCTGATTCACTCAACGGCGGACCTCAAATAATAGAACCCAACGTTGAGTTTATTTTAACTTAATTTTGAGTTTTTTTCTTACCGTGTAGAATTCACTTCTTCTACACACTATTATGATACTACCCTGAGACTGGGTAGACGGTACCCATTCTTATGTGCAGTAAGGAGTTGGCAGAATCTGAGTAAACCAGTTTTATTACGATGAGTAAAATGTACCCAAATTCTGGGGAAATGGTTATAATCGCATGTTTAGAATTGTGCAGGTATAAAAGGGAAATTTTTTCGGTGTCCATATATCCTACACGGTTAGAAAAAAGTACCAAATATTAAGTTCTTTTCACTCATCTCGGCACTATAGTGCAGGAATCCAAAAGTAGGTAAAGCGGTTCAAAGTAATTTTCACTTACTTGTGTGCAGTTCGTATGAAATTTTCCATTCGCTTTCTACCCAAAAGTAAGTTAGTTCTACCCAACAGTAGATAAATATGATTATACTCAACGTTGGGTTCCCACACTTTACTACCCTTGTTGGGTGGTTTTGCTCCTCCGTTTTTGACAACATTAGAAGGATAAAAGGAGACAAACTAGTCAAAAATAGGTAAAAGTAAACTTTCCGTTGGGTACTTTTTTCTTACCATGTACAATACTGTGGACCCCCGCTAATCTGAATGACACTTCTTGCGTATTAACGGGGTTTATTTTTATTTTCAGCTTTTTTTTAACCCTATAGAGATTGCTAAAGTATGACTGTGTCAGTGATTTGTTTTCATCGGGAAAATTTTCCGCTGTGAAGTTTTTTTTTCCCGATGAAAACATTTTGCGTATACGTATACGTGACGTAGTGTGCGTACGTTAAACGTCAGCAATCTCTATGACCATTAGAAAGTTGAGTTTCTGGTAGCCTTATTTGTGGTTTTGTTTTGATTCTTTTTTCCATTTTGCATCGTTTCATTCCGCTTTATTATTTATTACGCAATTGATGAATCTACGTTACGGTTGACCAGCAGATGGAAATGATGAGAAAATGAAAATGACGTTTTGCTACCTGTCAAATCGTATGGAATATTTTTTAGTACATCATCACTTTTGTGGTTTTGGATTTCAAACCTAGGTGTCGCATGTACTGGTGCAGTTTTGCGTAGATTCATCAATTACAGCGGTAGCGCAACGGCAGCACGAAAAGCGGAAAAGCCAATATGAGTAAGCCTACTTGTCGGATTGAAAACTATTCAGAACAAAATTGACTCCGGCTAGGCATCTTGATGTCATTTGTGACAACTGCCGAACCAAAGATGAATACTAAGATGAAACTGTCGGAAGAAAAACTTTCTATTTTAGTGTCCTCTTTCACGGTCCCTTTCATCCATTGAATACCCCTCGTATTCAAGGTAATTTTGTGGTTTTGCTGCCCCTTCGGTAGAGATGAAATTTTGCGCTCATTTTTATCAAAATAAACACACCAAAATCAGAGGTGTGCCATTTTTTAATTACTCGATTAACAACTACTCGATTTTTTTTTTGTTTGTTGTGCTGCCATTTTTCCACCAATGAGAGTGCAGCACATGTTTGAAACGATCGGTGATGATCCTCTGGAGAAGTAAATGCTTATATCGGCATGATATAACCGATTGCAAATATTTTACTTTTCGGTTCGTTAATCGATTAATCGATAATTCGAATGAAAATCGGCCATCACTAGATGAATGTGAAACGTCATTTCAAAGATATGGATCGTATATAAATAATGATACAATTTGAAAGGGACCGGGGCTCATCACAAATTACGTCCACACGGTAACTGAAATAAACACGAGTGCTCACCGGTTGGCCAAACTGCTCATAAAGACGATAATTAATAAAAACTGAAAATGTTCATGCATTTCCAAATGGTTTCCTACCATTCCCATACATTTGAAAGTGGCTGGCCCTCTGGATGTGGATGATGTCAAAAACAACAAAACATAGATTTATTGAGTACATAGGACTTTACTTACTTTTGGCTTCCCACATAGTACCTAGTTGGGTGAAATAAACTTTTTTTTCCTTGATTTGTTTTCCGTACTGAAAACCAATGCTACCGACACCCGAGAAGCAGCTCCCACACCCACCCTTCGTGATCAGAGATTTTGTACCTCAGATAATCCCGGCGGCGCTTAAGATATAAACTTAATTTTGACTATTTTTTTCTTACCGTGTGGTTAAATTTTACTCAACAGTGAGTTGTTTTTGATAGCCTTGTTACGCTTAATTTACAGTGTACTAGTCACCTTTCGCGTCACTAGAGCCGCTAGTGTCGGGAAAAATCGTGTCTTGGGGATAATAGAAGAGTGAACCATATTGTTAATTTATAATATTTGCTTTTATCATCCTGTATCACAAAAAAAAAATTTAAAAATTTACGTTTCGTATATTTTTTAGATATTTTACTTGATGAATCACAGTTTAACATTCTATTGAGATTTTGAGACCTTATTTCTGATGTAACATAAAGAAATAATCATTTGAAATACCGCATCCCTTTGCATTATCTACTTGCAGGCGTTATGGTTTGTTTACCATGGGGTGCATTTTACCCCAATGTTGTGGTGCGTTTTGGCCATTGTTGTCGTGCGTCTTGTCCCAATGTTGTGGTGCATATTGCATCATGAATCAGGCGTTTTGCCCCGCTATCATTTTGGAAGCAATTTAAAAAATACCTTGAAAGTCATGGAAAATCATCCTTTTGTAGTTCTAAATCACTCGATCTTTGTAGAAAACATGGTAATGAACCAAACGCCATTACTTTCTTCTTGATTTTAGCTTCCATTCGCCATCCATTGACGATTTTGCTTAAAGGGTGCATTTTGCACCATCCTACCCTATAGGACTGCTATTAAAGCTGAGTTCCGAAACCGTCGGGGAGGAATGTTCAGCGGAATCTGTGCGAGATGTTCAGGGCAGTCGATAGATCCTCCAATGAAATCGAAGACAAATATGTTGACCTGCTCCGCTTCAACGTTCTTCCGTTCTTCATCCTGTTCGTACTTCAGAGCTCTCTGGCTTTCTCAAATGTGACGTTTTCATCTTCCTCGCAAATTCGATCCAGGGATCTTCCCGACAGACCGCTTATGAATTTGTTGGTTAGGTTGTGCTCAAGATGGTTACCAAACTTGCAATTGGAAGACAACAGCTTGATCTTGGCGATCCACATGTTAACATTTTCCAGTCCTTGTTCTCCCCGCTTCGTCCTTTCCCGATGCACTACCGTTGTTGGCGTAATTGACATAACTGCTCGTAGGTCTTCTCTGCCGGCACCGCTTGCGTGCACAAATCCCGTATTAACTTGTAGGTTTTCGCGCTGAGACAGTTTATCAAGATTAATACTTTCTTGTTGGCTTCCAATCCTGCCGACTTAAACCATTCTTCCAATTGTTCCTTGAACAATTGCCACTCCTCCTCTTCCTCGTCGAATTTCCGAAAACTCGCCGTACTGGCCGTCATTTTTCTTAATTGCACATCCTCGTTGCCAATGTAATAAACACGCACGCGGGTTGATTGCTGAAACAATACTGACTTTATTGAGAGAGCAAGATTATGATGTACAAAGGTTGACAACATTCTATTACCCGGTACTGAACAGTAACACGAAACAATAAATCATAGATATTCTTTGAAATCATTTTTATAATTATAAAAGTTCGTTTAGTAATTTAAATACTAATAAAACATAATGCAACTTATGAGCAAGCAATCAAACGTGTTACAATTTTTGAATGAGCACAAAACTCCTTCTTGCATTATTAAATCATGATTTTCAGAAATTCTGAAAGGGAAGGAAGGTGGCAAAAGTAAAAATTATGATTGGTAAAATATATTCTTCTTATTTCATTTATTTAACGTCGGTCTCTGTTCCGCAATCTAGTGCCAATCACCGATGGACATCGATTGCCATCCATTAACGGCAATCGAATGTGGAGGAAGGCTGCTTCCACACCTGCGTAGCATATCGCATACTTTCTTTCCGAAGGAAGACGTGACCAGAGATTTTCCCACCGACCCACCGAATCCCACCGACCTCGGCTGGGATTGAATCCAGACCCATTGGGGTTAGAAAGCAGTCACGGTTACCACTACACCACCGGCGCCGGCTGGTAAAATATAGTAAAATTTAATGAATATTTTATAAAATATCGTTTATTTTTTTTTGTTTTGGAGTGCATGCATCGCAATTTTTCGGAAATGCATTAATAATATCAAACACTAGTAATGGTAAATTATAAGCTACTTTCAATTTATTCACATTGCATGAAACATTACACTCGACCGGGATTTTCTCACCTGTTACTCTAAAACATTGATTCATTCTAATCAATCAAAAAAAACATACACTAATTATTATAATATAAGAATGGACATTCATCCAAAAAAAAAATGCATACAAATTAAAAACTGTATCTTTGAACATTCAAAAACTAGAAAAAATATTAAGATTCAATAAAAGAGGATGCAGTTGCCAAACTGTAACACACAACGAAAAACGAAAACACCAGCATAGCGTCGACGGTCACGTTGAAAGTCGTTTGTACCACATTCTTCACCGCATTAAAACAAAAACTACTGACACTGCTCGCCGTTGAGGTGAGAATCTGCACTGAAAATAAAGAATAGATAATCAATGACCTAAGAAACAACACAGAAAAGACAACTAACCAAACTGCCACTCTCCAAAACTGTCAAATACACGGGGAAGCGAACTTAATCAAACATTTTTGCCAACTACCTTCGATTTCGGCCATTACTCCAATTTTCCCATAAAGTAAAAAAGACATCTTAAATCACGGACAAATTAAAGTATCGCAGCAAGCGAACCCAATGCAACCGACGGTGACGATAGAAGACGATGACGTTATGGCTTTTTGCCAGGCATCGAAAACCCCATCCGTGTGCCCAGCAAAAACCGACGACTAAACTTAAACGAGACGCCACTTTTTCTACCGTCCGTCCCATCATTGCCCCATTCAGTCAACCTAAATGAAGCTTTTTCGGATTTTTTTCACATCTTTCTCTATCGATATTTCCCGCAGACATTTAGGCAACACACGCACAACTATTGATCGGGCACGTTCCGTGGTCAACTAGCAAGGCAACAAATAGCAATCAAACAGCCGATAATTCCATTTTGGATTAAAGTAGGTTAAACAAAAACAAAACCAAAAAGTACACTGAAACAGGTTACCAGAAGGAAAACGAACAAACCGGGTTGACATCGACGTCGTTAGTCTAGTAGGCGCTTGACGCATGGAAACGGAAATAGACTGCTAGCTGCACCGCAATTGGCGTCGCCTACTGCCTGCGGGCGAAAGCCGAAGTTCGTCGAGTAGTGGGTTGTCTAAAATTTGAACGCGAACTGACGACCAACCGACGGCGATGATGACGAACGACAGCGGAGGCGACCTTGACACTGACACCGATTTTTTTCATGGAATGATATTCGTTGGTGGCGCTTCAATAACCAAATAAAAAAAAATGGGGAAACAATGCACCGGCTAGTTATAGCTAGCAGCGCGGTAATAAACTGAAGGTGAAAGGTAGGTCCTATGAGCTGCTGCTTTGGATCAAATTGAGTTAGGTTGTACTTTTTTTTCCCAGAGTTTTCATTGTTGTGTAGACAGGGCAGCAATTATTACAATTTTTGTTGATTTTAACCGTTTTGTTGTTTGTCTGCCATGCCGTGCCACGTCCCTTACACTTCAGTACGTATTACTTGCTCCAGTTGGGAAAAATGAAGAAGAGTGGTTTGGCTTTTTCTTTCGTTTCTTGAACAAAGAAGAAAGTGAAGAAGTGCGATTTGCTACTCTCAAGCGATAGTTTCACCTTCGTTTATTTTCGGTATTTTCACACTGATTCATTCGAATGCTGGATTAGTTAATAATGCAGGCTGGAGGGAAAAAAATACGATCAGTTACGGAAGTAATGATAGGTAATATCAAATAAAGTAGCTGTAGTGACTAAGTAGTGCTGGTAACGTTTGGTAAATATTTGTTAAATCATTTGAAAGGGGTCACGAATCATTATTTTGGCGTACCGCTAACCTCCGATCTATCAGGAAATGAATTCTTGGAACCTAATACTTTTCAGAGGATAGAAAAAAAGTCCTTAGTCTCAAGCATTTCAGCGTCTCATAACTCTTGATGTCCTGAGGTGGTTTACCAATCAAACTTACATACACGGCGAATGCGAACGACCCAAATTTGAGTTTAGTTCACTCATAATCGCCAAAAGTGCAGGAACTCAGCGATGAGTAAATTTGCCTCATGTTTTCCCAGGTTTTTTCCAGGATTTTCCAGGGAAAAATTCCCGAATTTGAGAAAAGTAAAGATTGGATTCACTCAGTCTATTGGTACTACTCCGAGACTGAATAAAATTTTCGTCAATTTCCTCATTTTCCGGCAGAGAGGAAAGGGGTCTCGAACCATCATAAGAATCTTTCCCGGCCCCAAAAACCCCTGCATACAAATTTTCACGATCGGGCTTTTCCGCTTCCGCTGCCATTGCGCTTGGGCCTTTACGCCAAACCGACGATCAAATACATTGTTTACAATAGCTGATACGTCCCTTCGAAAAAGTAATCGAGAATTCTTGATGGGATATCTATAGAATTTTCTCAAGAATTTCCTTAGAATCATCCCAAGATTTCTTCAGAGTTGCTTTCAGGATTCCTCAGAATCATCTTATTAATTCCTTCTCACATTCCCTTGAAGTTTTCGTCCATAACAACCTTGTAAATTCTCTACATACCCCTTTAGGAACCCCTCTAGGAAATTCTTAGAATTTACCCTACAATTATCTTAGTATTCTCAATAATTCTTGCGATAATTCTTTTAAAATGCTTTCGATAATTCTATGTAGAAAGCCCTTTTATGAAATATTCTTAAGAATTTCCTTCGAATTCAGTGTAGTGGTTAACATCCAAAGTCACGAGTTCAAATCTTACCCCGGACAAGTCACGAATAACCCATGCGTGTTTTTTTACTAGTTCGTTTATTTACTAGGCTCAGTCGTGTGTGACACTTTGCGGAGCCAAAATCAGTAATGTTTGAATTTACATTTTAAATAGCAGTAGTTCTAGGTTAGTATTGGGTACCAATTAGTCGTGGCGGGCTCGAGGTTAATGGGTAACAATTTCGATTGGAAGGAGCTAGGTAGGAAACTGGTTTCTGAAGCCTCCTTCAGATACTACTCTCGGACGGTTGACCAAATCCTGGCTGGGCAGGGGCGAGTAGCACAGGAACAGGAGGATAATAAGACTGCGACACAATGGCGGGAAATTGTTTGGAAAGGAGGGGATGGTCACATCAAACTCTAACATCAGACAAACAAAGGAATTCGTAGATCGCTTGCATGTAGGGAAGATCACGTGTTCCCAATACATCTCTTACTTCACGGAAGGGTTGTCTACCTCGGGCCACTAGGGTATCCAATAGTCGTGCTCTGGAGGCGTCATTACCCGGGAAATACCAAACTGCGTGATCGATGTCATCATAACCTGTTCGGCACCTACATATATTGCTGTCAACGAGGTTTATTCTATAGAGATGTGCGTCTAGCGAGTAGTGGTTGGACATAAGTCTTGACATCACTCGAATGAATCCCCGACTTACATCCAGACCTTTGAACCACGCTCTCGAAAAGAATCACTTGTCCACTCGTTTTGCCAACTTAAAAGAGAACTCTGACGTACTAATGGGAAAAATTCATCATGTGAAATTCTTCTATTATAAATCTCGCCTTGTTGTGCGCCCACCTTTGCGAGAGAGTCTCCCTTCTCATTGCCTGGGATTAAGCAATGTGAGGGGACCCATACAAAGGTAATCATATATGATCTTTCGACCAGCAAACTGATCTGCTCCCTTACCTTTGAAAGGAAATAAGATGAGTGCCTACCTTGTTTCATCGACCGAATAGAATAGCCTCAATCGAACTGAGACTATCCGAGAAGATGAAGTAATGGTCTATGGGCATATCGGAAATCATCCCCAATGCGAAGTTGATTGCTGCTAGCTCAGCAACATAAACGGAACAAGGTTCCTGAAGTTTCCGAAAGGCGGTTGAGTATTCATTGAAGACGCCGAAGCCAGTGGATCCATCAATGCGTGATCCATCAGTGAAAAATCTTCTACTGCAATTGACTTGTTAGACCCATGAGTGTTAAAGTAACTATAATTAAAAAAATACGGGTTTTATCAAACTTTTGTAGATCATGATTTGGACTTGGTCTTTAAACCATCGATAAAACTTGAAATGTTACTTGGGGTATTTCCAAGGGGTTGGTCACTCCGCAAAGTGTGCCTAAAATACAGATGGGCACACCTGGGCACTCTCATTGGCACCCATGGTTAGACATTTTCATGATAGTTAAAGTTACTGACAACACTGTATATTTGCGCCTGATCTGTGCATGTTTCAAGTTCTGCCATGGCGAAGTTTTGCCATGGATTCCTCCCAGCGCGCATATTTTCGAAACATTAGATAAAAACCGGTCAAAAGTCAAAAGTCAATGACCGTTGCCAAGTACAACTGTAATCTGGGGGTGATACTGGAATTCTTCCGGATGGTGCTGGAGTCGCTACCGGAAGACTTCGAGATCAGAGAACCTCCACTCGAACTGTTCAAGGATCTGGTGCGGAAGGCTTTGGTGTTTGACAACAGTTTGATCGAAGTTGGGAAGGGGGTGGCATCGTTCCGGAAGCTGATTGAAAAGATGACCATGAAGAAACTGCTACTGGTCATAATGCCGATTCGGAATCTGATTAGTGAGTTGGTTAGTGGGGATAGCGAGACTCTGAAGGAGGAAGTGAAGGGAACGTTGAAGACGTTTGTAGATCGATTTGGGGCGGGGAGATTCGTGACGGAGCTGAAATCACAGTGCGGTTGATTGGTCAGCTGTTGGGTTTGAAGGTGAGCTTCTGAAAGTCGACATCGGTGAGTTGGTTGATAGATATGTTTAGCTCTCGGACACGACCCTGATAACCCAGCGCTTGAAATAGAATATTTATAGTCTTGGCGGAAAAGAAGTCCCGGCGAAGTGTAAAGTGACCGGTGTTTTCCATGGTTCCAGTGCGGTAGGCATTTCAACATCGCGATGTTTGCAATAATCCTCGTAGAACTGATCCGAACGCAGCTCTATGAGGTGCGGATTGATTATGGAATACAAGCCGCACAGAAGCGTCGTAAGGGGATCGGTGCCCATACAAAGGCCACCAACTGGTCAGTCGTCGTTAACCATGTTTGATTCCGTAACGCTTCACCACTTCGTTGATCAGCTAACCGACATTCAGTTCCATGATTCGTTCCTCATCGTAGCTGACATCGATGAATTCGCCTTCGATGATCACTCGGACCATGTCCGGAGGTAGAATCTTCACCGGTGTTTGCTTTCCAACCATCGACAGCGTTCCAGCGTTTACAGGTGTTCTCTGGCCGGCACTGCTTTTCGCCAGAGACATCATACTCCATTTGTCGGACTGTCTGACCGTGTGAACATATTAAACCCCACCATCACCAGGGAAGTCTGATTCCGGTTGAAAATCACACAAGAACGCTGGCGATGCATCTTTGACTGAGTCGATGGCTTTCGGGAGAAACGCCTCC